CTATACACCGATGCCCACACCCACATTTAAACAGAACGCCTGGATGAAGAACGACGGATACAAACGGTCCGATTCGTCTCGCTCTCGAGGTTCAGCTGGTGCTTCATCAGTTCGTACCGAACGTCGTTCAAGGCGACCGGATACCTTCACGGACTTGGAAGGTGAAGCGAGTGAAGTGAAAGATTTGGATCCGGAAGAGCTAGCGGCGGAAAACGAGCGCATCGACCGTAACTGGTATCAGATGGATGACGGATACGACGGAGACAACAATCCATTTGCTGGTAACGTCTTAATTCCTCTAATAATGTATCATATTTGCCGACTTAATCTCAATCCATTCATTATATATATATATATCTTTATATATAATAAACCGAAAACCCATTCCTGTTTACGGCGGTTCGTTCTAAAATCCCTGATCAGCTATGCTCTTCTGAAAACCCCCTTAGCCGTAACGTTCCCTATTTGACTGAGTCTATCACAATGCCAGTCAGCCCGTAAATCACTATCAGCGTTTTTTCTAAATGTTTCTAAGGCAAAATAAATGTTTAGATAGGTCACCTGTTCGTGCCTAGGAGCATCGGATTTTTGCTATTGATCGGCCCTCATAATGCAACTTACTTGGCTCCGTCCAATCGCACAAAATGATTATAGAAAAGGCATACAAACCTAACGACAACAGATTTAACATGAGTGGTTTCAGTTTTTATAGCAAATAACCAAGCGACTTCGTGCATGGGTTTTGGTTGCTTTTTTTAAGCTGCCCATATGAATGAAAGAGCAGAAGCAAGAAGTAAAACTGAAATAGTCCGTTCCGAAGGGCGTTTTTCGGTATGCCAAATAGGGCAGAATAGGGTTTGATATGATACGCAAGCCTCACTGTTTGCGACACAGCAGTCATTCATTATTGCTACCCACCAATTACGGTGATCCTGAGTTACCCATTCAGGAACCAAACCGCGACCTATTTGTCCGAGTCTCCTCGTTAGGGGTTTTCATACCCTCTTGTCAGGTTTTAGTTTGACCGAATTTTTTGTCCACTGACTGCCTCGACAATCTCTTTGGTTACATGCGCAACAGATGTTCAGTTCAGTTCAGTTTGTACAACCATTAACCATGTACTATCGTGCGCCGGTTTTGGTTGCTATCTTTTGGATGAACATCAGGACAAAGACAGGAAAGGTTGAAAGTAGGATCGAAGAGAAAATTGAAAAGTTCAGTGGACCAATGATACCGATAAATTGATGAGATGCACGAACGCCACTGTTTACGACACGCAGCCGTATCTCTCAGTGTCTCTAACCATCGGTTACGACCATGCCGAGCCCCATCCAGGGATCCTAACGGGACCCATGTGACCCAGTCATGGTTAGGGTTTTCGTACCCTCAGACCAGGTCTTAGCTTGACCACCCTGGGCTTTATTCCACCCAATAATTGCCTCGGCAAACATCGCTTGCCGTGGCAACCTATTTGGTGACATGGGTAACACATGCCCCAACTAACGTAATCTATCGAGGTTGACCACTTGCTCCAGTGGGCGACCACCATTGCCCAAAAGTTTTCGCCTGACCTCAGCATTGCTCGCCCGGCTGCCCCACCAGACTCGTGCAATACTGCGTAGACAGCGGTGTTCAAACACCGACAGTCTCTCTTTGTCCTGTTTTTCTAGTGGCCAGGTTTCTGCTCCATATTGCAAAACTGGC